CTCCATGCTCTCTCGTCACCAGGTGATCAGGAAGCCGGGCAGCGTGTAATGACGCGGCGCCTGGCTTTCTGATACAGGAAGTATCGGGCTAGGCATCGGAGTATTTGGGCGAGTACGAGTACTCGCCCAAATACTCGGTATCGGCACTGATACCGATTCTAATATCGGTATCGGTGCATCCCTAATTATTATTATTAACCCTTATTTCCTCAATTTTATTATTATTATTAATTTCATTATTATTATTCCAAGTGGCATTTCTTTCCCCTCACTCAGTGTATATAATAATCCGGCCACTCAGTGTATATATATATATATACATTTTAAATACGGCTCCTTCTCCTGGGTTGTGAACGTATCCTTTCGCTCTCATGTCACATTCCGCGGCTGACAACTCACCTGCGAGACGGTTGGCCGCTATGCGGATCAGACTGAGTACTCCGCTACTTCTATACGTCGCTCCCTCTCTGGCCTGGATGAGCGACGCCGTCACTGACAAGCGCCGTTCTATAATGTTTCCATCGGGAATGGATGGGCGGCTCGCTCATCCGGCCAGCGAAGGAGCTACACGTGGAAGTAGGTGAGACTTTATATCAGTCCGCACGGTGACGGTGTCAATGACGAGTTGTCACGCAAGGTCGGGGGTCACCGGTGTGCCATGGGCCTAATAATAATGATTATCGTCAGGTGGATATCGCCGTCGCTGGTCTTGTTATAATTATTATCACCGTTATCTGTATCTCATTATTATTATTATTATCACCGTCATCCTCCGATCTGTGTGGCAGCGTCTCATCTTCTCATGATTGTTATTATTACCCATCCAGGTTTATGTCGCTATCTCCTCATATGATGATGATTGTTGTTGTTGTTATGATGCGGGAGGGTTATTTATTACGCCGTGTGTCACAATGTTCTCATGTTATTATTGTCATTGTCATCCGCAGCTCGGCGTGTCACCTGAGATGTGCCGGTCCTGGGAACCGTCTGTCACGTCCTCTCTCTTATAATTATCATTCTTTCTCATGTGTTCAGTCTCCCGATGTATTTTACTGCTTGTGGTGATGCTGCGTGTCACCTGCAAGCCTCTGTCCTGAGTCACCACCTGCTGCCCAAATAGTCCCCATCCTCATCCCCAACTTCCCCCACAACACCCCCTCCATATCGATCTGTAGAAATAAGCGCACTATAGTAAAGCTCTACCCAAAACTTTTTGAATTTCGGGTTTTGTAAGGAAATGTTCGCTTGTTGGCTGCACGTCATTGGGCGGCACAGCGGCTCACTGGTTACCTCTTCTGCCTTGCAGCGCTGGGGGTCCCCGGGTGTGATCCAAGATTGGCCAGGACACTATCTGCATGGAGTTTGCATCTTCTCCCGGTGCTTGCCTGGGGTTCTTTCGGGTGCTCCAGTAACTGACTCCTGTCTAGATTGGCCCTAGTATGTGTGTGAGTGTAAGATAGGGGACCTGAGATTGGGGACTGATATGAATGAATGATCTGTCAATCGACTGCACTATATAAATAACTATAATAACAATAATTGTTCTCAGGGGCGTCCCGAGGCCGGGTGACACCTGGAGCGGGGATGGGGTGACACCCGCGGTGACGTCATCGCGCATGCATGGTCATCTAATTGACGCATGCCAGCGGCCATCTTGGTGATGGACGACGGCAGAGAGAGGAGGGGACCCTCCTCTCTCCAGACACTGTCGGGCTCTCTGGCCCATGACCGAGTGCCCGACTTTTTAGAGGGGGTGACACCAAAATGACTGTCATTTTGGTGTCACCCCTCCAATGGTGTCCCCTGGGTGCGGGTCGCATCTTCCGCACCCCCCTTGTGACGCCATTGATTGTTCTCAAACAGCTTCCTGACCATGGTGTATCGTGTCTAATTAATGTGCGGCCAGTTGTCTTTCACAGCGTGACAACATAGGAGCTGGATTGGGGAGACAGTTGTCACCCCGTAACAGGAAGTACCTGAACACTTGGTGTATCATGTCTAATCAATGTGCGACCACTTGTCTTTAACAGCGTGACAACATAGGAGCTGGATTGGGGAGACAGTTGTCACCCCGTAACAGGAAGTGTCTGAACAAGGTCACCATGGCAGGATCACCTGAGATTATTTTAATGTGAATTTCAAAGGCTTTTTTTGTAATATTGGATTTAGTGGGGGAGGGGGGAAGGGTTAGACCCGTTGTCAGGTTTTTATTACTGCTTCTGTGCCCATTGAGGATGATTTGCCCTCTCTAATTGTACCGGTGACCATTCTCATTGAGAAAGAAGGTGAGGGGAAATGCAAAATGATACAGTTGTCACCAGAACAAGAGATTAGAGGAAATCTTCTAATGGGGGTCACCTTTTCCACCAAGAGGTGAGTTGCCCTCACTTTGGGAGATTTCCTCTAACTTCCTGTTAGGTCTCTGGAAGGGAAATTTCCCCCAATGGTACACAGACGGCGAAAAAGTAAACCTGGCACGGGTTTTATCTAGGGATGCACCGATACCGGCTTTTCGGCATTGAGTACGAGTACCGCTGCTTTGCTTTCAGTACTCGCCGGTACCGATACCGGTGCTTCCGCTGGCATGGAGCCGGCTTCCCCAGCAATCAGGAAGCTGGGCAGCGGGTAATGACATGACGCCCGGCTTCCTGATTGCCCGGGAAGCCGGGCTCCATGTTGTTTGGCCGGCTTGATTGCGATTGGCTGGGAAACCAGCTTCCCAGCCGATCAGCATCGAGCCGGGTTCCCAGGCCAATCAGGAAGCCGGGCGACGGGTAATTACCCACCAATCAGGCTTCCCGGCCAATCAGGAAGCCGGGAGGCGGGTCATTACTCGCTGGCCAGCTTCCTGAACGCACGGTAAGCTGGCTTAATGTTCCCCTACGGCACTGCTGGTCAGAGGAAATCTTCCTCTGACCGGAACGTCTGGTATCGGGGAAGGTATCGGAGCACTTGGATGAGTACGAGTACTCGCCCAAATACTCGGTATCGGTGCATCCCTAGTTTTAACCCTTTCCTACTCTTTCCAAAACAAGAAACAAGGTTTTGGCTGTAGATACACCTTCACTCGTGGGTGTCCCGAGGACGGGTGTCACCCCGCCGTGTCGTCATCGCGCATGCGTGGACATCTGATTGACGCCTGCCGGCGGCCATCTTGGTGATGGACTCCGGCAGAGAGAAGAGGGGGCGTTCACCCGACGGCATGAGGTATGACGCCGGGTCCCCTCCTCTCTCCTGACACTGTCCGGCTCTCGGTCAATGACCGAGTGCCCGACATTTCAGAGGGGGTGGCACCAAAATGAAAATCAGTCATTTTGGTGCCACCCCTCCAATGGTGGCACCCCCTTTTGATGCCTCTGCAACTTTTAAAATCCCATTAACACGTTACATCATATTTGTGGAAAGCTTCACATCTATGGACTTTATGACAAAATATTCCACTTCGCAATCCTCTGCAGATGCTTCCGACGTATATCTCCCTCCAAAGCCTCGTGTATGTGCGCATATTTTATACTCAGGGACAGGTGATAATGGCAGTTCCCATGCAATGCCGGCTCATGTTTACCTCCCGCAGGCACATTGTCCTGAAACCACCTTTAGCGTCCTACTTGGCTGGGCCGTTTCTAGGTGTGCTCTCCTGCCATCTGCTGGATAAAATACAGAACGCAGTAGGGACATTCTGACACATGCCTCTAACTTCACTAGGTGTCTAATATGAACAGTCTCCACGTGGTCAGACGTTTGTGGTCACCCCTTTATATTATTGATTCCAGATATCTCCAGTGAACGGTTCTCATAATACTTCTCCCGACTCCAGGACTTCTCTAGAGTCTCTCCCATCCTTTGGAACTTCTTACCCCAACCAGTCTATCTATCTCCTCCTCTGCCTGCCTTTAGGCGATCCCTAAAGTCTCATCTCTTCAGGGAAGCCTATCCCACCTCGACCTAACCACTGAGCTATCACTTTGCCAAACAATTCCTCCCCACACAGCTACCTCCTCATGTATCACTTGCCCCTCCCCTTTTAGAATGTAAGTCCTCAGGGGCAGGGCCCTCCTCACCATCTTGTCTTGATTTGTATTGTAACTGTAATGTCTTCCTTATATTGTAAAG